GCGCCGGTTCTAGTTGAAGTCAGAACATGTATCGTAATTCCTGGATCGGACGCATTCTTATGAGGTTTTATCGAAATTTTCAGTAAACGTTGGTCCGAAGAGTCGCCAGAACTGTCTGTTCGAGTTTAGTCCCTAACGCTCTGACTCAAAATCCTGATGGAAAGGTACTAATGGCATGCAAAGCAGCTTAACAACTAGTTGCCATCGTCATACCATAAAATGGTAATTGTAGTGTGGCCATTTAAACAGGCTAGTGTCAGACCTTAACCCAAGCACCCTGGTAGCATTAAAGCTGCTGTTCCGCGACTGCTGATTCGGGACAGGAGAGATACCACCCATACTGCAACCTTTTGGACATCCGAACCCCATCCCACTTTTGCAAAGTCCATCTTGGTTTACATTGTCGTGGGCCCTTGCTTGATAGGCGAAGGTGGTGTAGACGCCGGTTTCGTATCTTTACGTTTTCGCTGCATTTGCCACACAGTGTACGTCTTTTTCCGTGTTGCTTCCAGCATTTGCACTGAATCTCTGGACGATGTCCATGTCCGCGTGAGGACTTCAACCAATGGCACTGATGCGGTCGACAATCTAACCGGTAGCAGAGAAGTGTCGGGGTGATTATCGCACCCTTATTACTCGCCCGATCGGACAGCTGTGGTCTAATCGCAGCACAGCTGTAGAACCAGTGTCATGCGCCCCCGCCAAAATCCGCCAGGTCCACCATTCCCGCACATTCCAGCATCACACCTGCATACACAAGAAAGTCACCCATTCCTCATGCGACAATCGTGCGATGAAGTTTGCCAACATGGGCAATGATGACCGGCATATCATATGTGCCTCAATGTGTGAAACGCGCTTTGAGGCTTTAGGCTGTCAGCTACAACTAACAATCTCATCCTCAGTTATACTGCCTAGGAATTGCCGCCGGAATGACAGAGGGAGAGATTGTTCCAGCTCGGATCGAACAATCAGTGTACGCACGATAACCGCAGGTGCTCGCTCACGGTCACCACTGTCGTGACTTGAAAGGTTGCCCATTTGAGGAATGACTAGGCCATACTCACGACTGGCGGTCATGCTGTAATGGCTTCTTCTTGGTGCGGTTGCACGAGTGGGTAAAAACGTATCTGCCAAAGGATGCAACCTCGAAGACTGGGTATCAGACAAGCCAGCACGTGTACAAAAAACGACGAGTCGCCGGGAAATTGGTGAAAACGAGACAACACAGTCGCTGTAAGGCCGTGAACGGCAGCCAATTTGCTATTTTCACCTTCATAAGACATCTTCTTGGAAATATGTGGCATACTGCTCCCGTGCACAACCTCCACGGCCCATTTCAAAAGTGGGACGGCCGAAAACTTCAGAAATTGGCACCACAGGGACAGCAAAAAAAACTAAATAAGAAAAAATTAGTCAAAATTTATTCAATGATCCTGTGTTTCCCAGTCATCAAAATTCCTGAGCTATAGTCTATGCTAATGAAAAAGACTTGGTTTAGAAATTCACATGTATGTTTCTGCGGAATCAAAATGATCCCAGTCCGATCTGTCCGCGTTCTCTTTTTCGATTAACTTCATGTAGGGCGTCAAATAAGGGATATCGTCCTCTATCTTGGTCCACTCAGCTTGTGGCAGAATTGTTTTGTTAGCAGACAAAAGAAAGGCGCGAGCCATGCGAAAGTCTCGGGCTTCGTTTTCCTCTCGTGGAAGACGACGGAAGGCCTCCTTGACGACGGGTGTGTGTGGCATAAGATCGTGCCAGAGAAGTCCGATTTGGTTGTAGTAACCAGTATTGAACTGAAAATCCTTCAGAGCTTTCTCCAAAGGGGATCGCTGTGCTAGTTTGACCCTCCAACTTTCAGTCGCTTTTGTAATGGCTGCTCTCAGTGTTGCCATTTAGGAACTGCAAGAAGATAGACGCGTATCGAATTAGAAGCTCTCGAAATGCACTGTCTAATGCATTAAGTGGACCAAAAACGGTTGCCTACACACATAACGCAAGGCATACACAGAAGTGGAGAGCAGAAGAACTCGCGGCCTGAACCACAGCAGATGCAAAAACTGGAAAAAGGAATGTTCGGGGTCTACAGGGAGGAACAAATGTAATAAAAAAAGTCGGCATATGCTGACGATGGCCGCACTTCTCCTTCATAAGCCGAGTCAGTGCGTCAAACTGGAGTGGGATGGATGGGGAGTAGGGAGATGACAGTAACTGACTAAATTGCGTTATAAGAACGCTTGGCCGAACCCCCTTGCAGAACAAATAACATAGCGCATGAAAGAACACATTACTGGAAACGCTCTATTTGATATCGACGCTTCAGCTTTGTTCTTATCGAACATTCGCCCGCCTGCAAAATCGCTAAAATACAAAATAACCTGGTGGACTAGGCCCTGACGCATGCTGACACCACAGGCTTTGTGGAAAACGAGCTGTAAACTTGTGTCGGTTACCTGCTCGATGTACATAAAACGAAGTGCGGTCTTCTCTGAAAATTAGAGACGTCAGTCTAGTCTAGATTGCATCCACTATTATTCCTGGTGCCAGTCCGCGAAGAATCACTGAAGTCTAAAAGATGAGTGTGTTGGATCAGGAAATAAGCCAAATTTCTGTCCATAGGCCGATGCGTGAACGCCACTATTTAAAGCAGTAACAGTCGTCCTCCTAAATCACAAAGTGACATCCGGAAGTCTTGGAATAACCTATGAAATGGCATACAAACCATTGATCGGAGACTAAAGTCACGGACTGATTTGAAAAAAAGCGGTAGAAAACACGGATGTCAGAAACTTGCAGTAATGTTCGACACGGGCAGTTAATCTCACCCTTCATTTTAACTTTTGTAGCTTACAGCAAACAAGAAAACCGCTTGTGATTTTCATCTGATGGTCAGCACAGAAGTAGTAAGCTAACATTATATTTTCCGACGACGCCGTACGCCTAGTGTGATGCTGAACAGCTGAAGGACCAGCCAGCACCAACTGTGTACGTTTCACTCTACTAAGACACACATTTGCAATGGAGGACCGGACATCGGCTAGAATTACTCTTCTAAACCTATGAAACGCCACCTCACTTATTCCACTTAGTGGTAAAGCAGATACAAGAATTAAAGATGCTGGAAGTTAACACAGGTCTCCGTCACCTATACCCAAGGAAAAATAGTCAGGATAGTCTCCACTGCTCCGTAGTCATTGTTACCCCGGAGTATCTGGTGGGGTTGAGGATCATATGACCGGAATTATAAAAAGCTTCTGCATTTTCAAAAAACGTCAATTTGTCCGTAGCAACCCCGACCCGTGGTACGGCGTCCGTAGAAACAGCATCTTTGACAACGGTGGTTCAACAGGCGATGAAATCGCTCTGAATAATTTGATCAAAGCTTAACTCACGTTACGGTCATCAGAGCTGTTGCTGTAAATACCCCAAAACCAGATGCTCCTGACATGCAGATTAATTGCAACCAGGGAACGGGAGTGCCCTGACCGTTGCACACAGCCGTTTATGACACGTTAGGAAACATTTTATAGACTGGTACCCAGATGGTGTAAATTCAAAATAGGCTGAACTAAATATCCATCTGAACTCAATGAGCCAGCTCCTAGTTCAAACCAAGCAAAATACCTGGTGTCGATAGTAGTTTTGACTATGTTTTCAGGAGAAACTACAAGATGGGAACTCAGTCAACCGATGTATTGACCTGGCGTCGGTATACAGAGCTCTAAGCAGTCACCATCGGACCTGAAGCACTGGTCGTCGATTGGCTAATACTCCCTACAACTGTCGCCTCCTCTGTTGCTGCCTTCCTCTCTGACGCTGGACGCCTGCGCGAGTTTGAAGGCTGCGAAAGACAAACAGACAATTTCGGTGCTCGAACCAAATATTGTCTAAACTACAGTCTGCTGGCGGGGCATGGCTTACAAAAGAATACGGTGTTGATTGCCTCGAAGGACCAACCACTTACAGGCGTCTTTGTGTAGGTTTCCATCACTATTTTGCCACAATGATAGGAACGACAATTATCCTGATGAAGCCGCCGACGAAAGAAACTGGCTTCAATATAAACATACTCTCCCGAACACCTAGTATTAGGTTCTAGGACCTGGTAGGTGTCCCATGGGTTGGAGTCCTGGTGGATGTTGTCATTTATCCGGCATCGCTGTCTGTGACCGACGAAAAACAGACCAACTCGAAACCACGTTCAACGCAGCCCGTCAAGATATGGAAATAAGCTTTGGATATTCGGTACCTGTCATTGAAGAAGAGAACCAATTGAGTTCTATAGATCCATTGTTGTGAAATATCACGCGTGGAGAGGTGATACCTACGGCATCACTAAGACCAGCTGGATTGAATGTAACAGCAGCTGTACAAATTACAAGTAGGAAACTATTCGGCCAGCTGGCATGACGACGTCCGCTCACCCTCAGGGCATTTTTAAATTCAGGAACTTCAGTAAGCGGTACTGCAGAGCGATTGACAGGATTTGGAAGACGAGCGGGCTCTATACTCGTTCATCTCAACGACAAAAAGCAAACAGTTTAGAGTGATGACGTCACTTTTAACCAACGCTATTCAGTGAAAGGAGCGTCTTGTTCAACTTTGCACCAGGTAGAACAGGTCAATGTTTATTTTGAAGACGATTGGACATGACGAGGGCCGCAGAACGATATTTGTCGCGAATATTTCCGATTGTTGAAACACAGTACTTGCTGAGGAGAGCACTGCGGCGAAAAGCTAAAACTGCTCTCCGACTGTTGACTAATTAAACAGCTTTATAATCTAAATCTGGATAGCGGGAAAACACACTTACACAAAGTGTCACTATGCTGATCTCCAAGGAATACAAAGGACCGCATCGCAAGGACTGCCGTGGCACAGCACCTCTAGATATAACCGCAAAATATTTCTTCCTAACGCTCTACATTCAGTTCTGTTTGCGCACAGACGCTGCCCATAACTTACTTGTACTTGATGCGGCTGCGATCATGTCTGATCTAGCCGGCCTCGATGATGTCACGAACTGTACCTCTCCACGCGTGACGAACCGCGGTAGCAGATCTGGACAGCTCATCCCATTCCCATCGCCAACGGCGTAGACCGAATACCGAAGGTCCAAGAACCACCTCCATGTCTTGACGGACAGTGTCGAGCCAGGTTTTGAACTGGCCCCCTCTTCGACGCCTCCAATGGGGCAACGGTGCCGGATCGAGGGCAGTAACACTGAGCTCCTGAGGTGGACGACGAAGAACATGCCCGAACCACCTCAGTAGTATTTCTTGGATGGCCTGAGTTATCCTTGCGATGTTATCGCAGCGAGCGCGGACTATCTCATTTGAGACGAAGTCGGTTAACTTCACTCGAAGGATGATCCTCAAGCAGTGGTGGTCAAATACCTCCAGTTTTCGCTCATCCTCCACGCGCGAAGCCCAGCATTCACAACCGTAGAGAAGGACAGACCGGACAGATGCACGGTACACGCGAATCTTAGTGGCGATAGAGAGGTCACGTCGGTTCCACAGGCATTTCCGAAGGCTTGAAAAAACCCAGCGGGCAGCATCGATTCGGGAGACAATTTCGTCCTTACTCTGTCCATTAGGCAGCAGCCTCGCTCCGAGGTATTTAAAACTGTCCACTTCTTCAAGTTGACAGCCATCAATCCCGAGAGGTGCCTTCTCCTGGTCAGGGATGCAGCTTGAGAATACTTTGGTCTTCCCAGCGTTTATGGACAAACCGACTGATTTAGCGACCTCGTTCACCCGTGACACCGTAGACTGCAGATCACCAAAACTTGAAGCAAGTATGGCGATATCATCGGCATAGTCGACATCAGTCAGTCGATGTTCGGGTGCAAAGTCAACGCCGTCACTGTCGCGTAGGGCCCTCCCGAGGATCCAGTCAATAGCGTAGTTGAACAGTATGGGTGACAGGATACAACCCTGTCGGACGCCAGACCGAATACCGAACGGTTGGGAAAGATTGTTACGGACCAGGACTCTCGCAGTAGTGGAGCGATAGTAGGCCTTGATCATGGCGATGATTTTTGCCGGTACACTATCTAGCGCCATTATCTGCCACAGGGACTCACGGTGAACGGAATCGAACGCGGCGGCAAAGTCAACGAAGCAGACGGCCGTCGGTTGTTGGTAGCTATGGCGAAATTCGAGAATGCGCCTCAGTGTGAATACCTGATCTGCGCATCCACGTCCAGCACGAAATCCTGCTTGGTTGGGCCTCGTCCTTGAGTCACGCACAGCCTGGAATCGCCTGAGTAGGACAATAGCGAAGATCTTCGCAGCAACGTCGATGAGACTTATGCCGCGGTAGTTCTCGCATCTCGTCTTATCTCCCTTCTTGAGGATAGGTACAAGGATGCCTAAGCCCCAGTCATCAGGAACAACCTCGTCTATCCACGCTTGTTCAATCACCTCATGGAGCCAGGGCGCCAGAGTGTCGACACAAGACTTGAAGATTTCAGCGGGTATACCGTCCTCTCCGGGTGCCTTATTGTTGCGCAACTTTCGTATGGCATCGGCGACTTCTTCCTCGGAGGGGGGATCGCATGGCACTGCATAGGTAGGAGAGGGAAGAAACTCCGCTGAGGAGGAGAACAAGGGCGATGTAGGTTGGGTATCGAAGTTGAGATGGTGCTCAAAGTGCTCACGCCAGCGCTCGACTATGTCCAAGTTGTCAGCGATAAAGCCGCCGTTCACATCGCGAACAGAGTCACTCAGTGTAGAGGGCTTACTGCTAACTTGGCGGATCAGACGGTAGAGCTTTCGAGTGTCACCAACGTTCGAGGCCTCTTCCATGGATGTCGCTATTTCAGCCCAATATTGTTTCCCGTCATCCCTGGCCGATTTTGCCGTCATCTTCCGAAGTTGGCGGAAGTAGTCATCGTTGCGGGACCTGGCTCTAGCCGTCTGAGCAGACAACTGCAGGGTTCTTCCGCTGAGCCAGTCACTGCGGCGTCGCTGGGTATATCCAAGGATTTTCTCAGCTGCCCCATAGACTGAGGTCTTCAGTGACGACCACTGGTTACTGACTTCTCCGTCGGCTCGGGTCGTAAAACAGGTTCTCTGCTTAGGACCTCGGCAGTGCTGGCTTGCCGGATTTTTGCGACATTGAGGCGTCTAGGACGTGGCATTTTTTGGCGCGGATGAGAGATGAACTTTCAGGCGTGTACGAACGAGGACATGGTCCGACCCATGGGCGTTACCAGTCTCGGCATCACGCATCGATCTGCTATCGTGAACCCAGCTACGGAACCTTAAGCTAGCTAGTATGTAGTCAGTCTGACTGGCCGTACGACCGTCGTTTGAATACCAGATCAGCAGATGTTTTTTGCGATGCTGGAAACATGTGTTGGTGACAAGCAGTCGGTTTCGATCTGCGAAGTTCAGCAATTTCTCACCGTTTTCACATCGGGAACCAAGCCCAAAGCGGCCAAGCAGATGACTGGTTGTGGGGTCTCCAGGTCCAGTTCGACCATTCCAATCGCCAGCAACAATCAGAAGATCGCGGCGAGACAGTCTTTCAACTAGCGCTTGCAACTGAGAGTAAAACGCCTCTTTATCGCGCTGTTCGGCAGCCGAAGTTGGTGCTTACACAGCAACGATGGAGATGTTCGTGAAGTGACCCTTCAGTCGCACGTAGGTCATTCGGTCATTGACTGGTTCCCAAGCAAGTAGCGCGAGGTCCGCTTGTTGTGATAGGGCGATCGCCACACCGTTTCGACCAGAGGAACCGCGGGGGCCGCTGTGGTACAGGGTGAAGTGTGATTCGACTCCCGGGATCTTTATTTCACGGGAGCCTGAGTCAGGAAGTCGTACCTCAGACAGACAGCAGACATCCACGTTGTACTGAGGAAGGCTGCGTGCGGTCAGACTTTGGGTACCTGGGTCCAGGAACTTTCGTACATTCCAGCATCTAATACCGAGAGTCCGTCCACGATTGAGTAATCCAACTCGCATACTATTCGCCCGCACCACTGGACCAGGGTTGCGGAGCGCGTCGGTTCCCGAGGACGCCGTAGCATGGGTCGTAGTACTGTGATTGGACATGTTGCACGAGGTTTCTTGGGAATTTCGAATACGGGTGGGTCCCCAACAGCCGCTCGGATTGTTTGTTCGAGGTTGTCTCCTCTAGCGCTTTGGCTTAAAAACCTAACCACAAGGCAGCGGTGGCTAGTAAAATTATTTAATGGCGGTTTACGGTCGCCATGTCATAATGCCATCATTGGGTTTTGCGGCATTTTATAAGGCTTTCAACGTGCCAGACTTCAGCCCACCGCACCCTGGTAGCAATGTCGCTGCTGGTCCGCGACTGCTTATTCGTCAGACCTGGGTCTGCTTATTTCGCAGCTAACCTTCACTGAAGGTCGTCCCACTATCCGCCACCTGTGGACGCGTCGGGTAGCCAGCAGCTAGGCTAACGGGCAACCCGTCGTCCCGGCAACCCGTCTTCCCGGCAACCCGTCTTCCCGGGCAACCCGTCCTCCCGGCAACCCGTCTTCCCATAACGGGAGAATGTGGTGATCAATACTTCTTACTTGAGTAACTGCTTACTTATCCGGTTGATTCACCTCTACATCCGTCTGCTGAGAGTACAACTTTGGGGTCAATCCTGCTGCCTGACGGCAGGCTACGGAAGATGCTACGATCATTTCCCGCGTAACAGAAATTTCTATGTAACGCCAGTAAGCGAAAAAAGAAATTAAATGTAATAAGTTTAGGAACCGCTGGAGCCCAGCACGGATGCAAACACACTTGAAACTCTTACTCTAGCAGTGGAAAGCCACATCGAAGAAAAAATCTTACGCAAACTATACGTTATCCGTAGACAACCGTGAGCCAACGGTCAATGACCGCTTGGCCGAACCATGAACAGTCAAATTAGTATGTCAACATTTGGCGCAGATCTCGCGGAATTAGGACCTTGCCCCAAAAGGCATCCGACGTTTGCTGGACGGTCAATGGGACTGTTATTCCGCTGTTATTCGACGGCCGACTATCAGTACCACGGCGGCTACTCAGCAGTCCGTGAATCCCATAGGCCGCCCTTTAAGAACGGCTGTGAAATTCCGTGAACTTAACGTTAGACGAGCGGATAATCAATTTCGCAGTCAATTGGTAGGGGCGGATGGAATTCATAAATAATTTTATTGTGTATCCTACCTGGCTTGGCTAGGAAGCCGTTCTTTAGACGGCTTCACCAAAAGAGCCTTCTACGCCCTATTTGTTATGACATGAACTTCGAAGGGCGGAAAATGAAAGACGGTCTTTCAGAATCCACAACATACGAGGTCATCATGAGTACGTTTTCAATAAGTTCATTACGGCTCCATCTGCAGGGGTATTTGGGATCTGGAATGCTGACGACAAGGCGACACTTAATGACCTAGAGTTGTCATTTACAAAAAGACTAAAACGGTCGCTGGGCACTCTAGCAAGAATGTAAAGGAATAACAGCACCAACGCAAACCAACGGTGGGTGTCTTTCAATGATTTATTACACACCACTCTTCCATGTAAATCCAATGTCTGGACCTTCCACAGGGTACACATCTAATTCTCGATGGACTGCCCTGATATGGATCTACAAGAGCAACGTACATATCTCAATTTTTATTTTTTTAATTATACATACGCTTCTTCACATGACTTCGAAAGTGCTACGGGTACATTGCGTTCTCATACGCTCGTAGTTCAAATGGAGACTATGGTAGAGGGTTTAGAAGGACGGGAAGAGACAACAGAAAAAATATAGCTCGATTTAATAGAAGAGGGTGGTATTTCTGTGGGTAAAGGGGTCGTGTAAGTTGCGGTGCGTCCCGCTACCATCGTTTTTCGAGTATGTCGAAACGTCGATATCTACTTGATAGTCGCCGGACGAAAACGCCATTCACTCAATATACCTATATCGAAAATCTGCTATCTACTCGACATCGGGGCGATATACTTTTGCTACTAAGGGGGGTAAGGAGCAAAGTTCACATGAACGACAGTGAGTGACTACCTCTGATAAGGGCTCCGCCATTTCTTACTAACGTTGCTTAACGATATAATTGGCTGCATCTTTCTTCACCATTTGGCAGACAGCCCGAGCGCTATGATGGAAAATATGTGTTTTACGAGGCTTGACAAGAATGGCAACGTTACATTGCAGTCACTAAACCAGGATTTTGTTATTGGGGGGTTGAAGTTAGAAAAAGCCGTCGCCTTTATGAGCTTCAAGTAAGAAATGACCTCTGCTTAACTTTAGAAAGGAAATAACGTGAGAAGACATGACAAATCAGAAAAATCGTCAGGAAAGATCAAAAAATTCAACTTTTCCGCCATACCCTAAAAGTGAACAGTTCAAGTATTTAGAGGTAGTAGTTAGGACTGGGTTTTACTGACTCTTCCAAATCATGGTACCCTTGTCATATTATCTGCATGTGTAAAAGGGAAGTTGGTGAAATGAAGTTCCGGTCATTAAGCCTGCTCAAAATAATCTTGGGATGGATATGCAGAGGAATCGACCTCTGAAAGCAAATGGAGAACTCGAACCGAGAAACTAGCTCAATCCAGTCGAGAGCTGTAGCCTGATTATCGAAGGATAAAATAAAAACCGCAAAACAGATCTCCCCAAGCGAGGTTTTTTCTCGCGGAGAGGGAGCAATGGAAAGTGTTCGAAACGGAACTTCTCAGGAGATCTTGCCTGGGCGAGAACAGTCGCAAAATACTGAACGAGGGAATTATACAGCCCCAAATGACAATTTGCTGAAGAAAGCCTACAACCCTTACAGCTTAGACGTGATAGAAACCAGTCCGTCTCACGCAGCACCAGCAGGCCTTTGTATTCAATCCCACGAAATGAGCAGACTTCTTTATACCGGAGTTACTCACACCAAATGCAGATTTCTGCATACTGATGCCCGAAGTCTCGTTTCGAAAATTGACGAACTGAAAGCGCCAGTTTCAGAATAAAGCCAAGACGTCGTTGCCATTAGGGAAACGTGGAGCAAAGCTTAAGTCACGAATACCGAGATTTCGCTACAAGGACCCCAGCTCTTTCGCAGAGACAGTCAACATAGTCAGGTAGGTTGGGTAGTCGTATGGGTAATAACAGGAATTGCATCAGTTAAACGAGCACACATCCTCCTTTTTAAGTATGAGCCCAACTGCGCATAAATATGGAAGGGAAAAACGAAAAATCCAGAATACCGGACGGTCTCCAAACCACGAAACCCTTGGAGTGTATTTGACACTTTGCCTTACTATTCGTTCAGGGCAGTGGCTAGTCTTCGGAGGGTCACACTGTTGGAGATTCCAACACACCTGCAATACACTGGGGAAACATGGTAGTTCAGTTCAGTTCAGTGCAGTTTATTGAGGGAAATAGGCGTAAGCCTTTGAGTACCCTATTTGCAACGTAAAAAATATGTGGTGTACAGATAGATGTTCTGGGCTGAAATAGTTCGAACACGCCCATAATGGTGGGACAAAATGAGAAGGAGTTACAGG